CCTGGCCGCAAGGGGAGGGGGGTGGGGGGGGGGGGAAGTGGCAGGGGGGAGAGGGGGAGTAGGAGCCTCACAGAGGGGAGGAGGGATCGCCACACCCCCATGAGGCGCGGTGAGGGAGGGGGGCGTGTAGGGCAGGCGGAAGGCGGGAATCCTCATGCCCCGTAGCAGGGTGTGTAATGCCCAGACCTTGTAGCTCAGGAGGGGAGGGGAACCTTTCCAGTAGAAAGTGGTCTCATGGGTGGTGGGTGAAGCCCTACCTGGGGAAGGCAAGACCAAGGCCCACCTCTTCTGCCTGAGGCCCCGCCCCTGGAGCCAAGCCCCACCCACCTCCAGCCGGATCCTCCCTGTCCGCGTGGTGAGGCCGTAGTCCCAACCCCAGCAACCAGGGAGCAGGGCTGCTGTGCCACAGCCCCAGCCTTCCTGGGTGGCTGGGGCATATAGACAATTTTGGGAAGGTTGTGCCTTCCCTTGTCTACATCACCAGCCACCCATGGGTGGCTAGGGTTGCCGGATGCTTAAAAAAAAATTGCTTGAGCAAAAAAAAAAGGGGGGGCACAAAAGAAAGGCACCGTGCCTTTAAATCCCCACGCTAACTGCTCCCCCCTCCTTGCCCCCGCCAGTCGTAGCAGAGGGGAAATGTCCCAAGCGGTCTTCCATCCGAGAAAAACATAAAATACCAGGCCACTACTGGACACCTGGCAACCCTAGCTGTAGCCTCTGAAAACTCTTAGGCTGTGTCTAGACTGGCCAGTTTTTCCAGACAATCAGCTGCTTTTCTGGAAAAACTTGCCAGCTGTCTACACTGGCCACTTGAATTTCCGCAAAAGCACTGAACTCCTACTGTCTGAAATCAGTGCTTCTTGCGAAAATACTATGCTGCTCCCGTTCAGGCAAAAGTCCCTTTTGCTCAAAGCTTTTGCGCAGAAGGGCCAGTGTAGACAGCTCAGATTTGTTTTCCGCCCAAAAGCCCCGATCGCAAAAATGGCGATCGGGGCTTTTTTGTGGCTCCCGTTCGGGCAAAAGTCCCTTTTGCGCAAAACTTTTGCGCAAAAGGGCCAGTGTAGACAGATCAGATTTGTTTTGCGCAAAAACGCCCCGATGGCGAAAATGGCGATCGGGGCTTTTTTTGCGCAAAAGTGCGTCTAGATTGGCCACGGACGCTTTTCCGCAGAAAGTGCTTTTGCGGAAAAGTGTCCGTGCCAATCTAGACGCTCTGTTCCGAAAATGCTTTAACGGAAAACTTTTCCGGAAAATCATGCCAGTCTAGACGCAGCCTTAAAGAGGCTGAGGGCATCAGAACCCCTCTGGAGGAATAAGTCTTACTGTCTTTTCACAGGCCCCCTGTGCTCACAGACCCAGCCTGCAGAACTGGGTTGTCGTCCCTATTTCCAGAATTTAATCGCCGGTGGAGACGTTAGCTGCTCTGTTCTTCCATGCAGGTTATTCTATTGACTTGCTAGGGCTCTCTGTGGTGCCCGGTGATTGTTCCGGCTCCAACGCCCATGCTGCGGACTCTCTTTATTCAGCGCAGGGTTTCTGACGGTCCTAGGCGTCCAGACACACAGGTTCCATTCCCTGCTCCTTCCCAGACTTCCTGGACAAGGCCGAAGCTGCTCCAGCTGCCGCTGTGGAACAGCCCCTGAGCTTCTGCAATCCCAGATTATGAGACTTCCTGACTCTCGGGCTAAGATGCTTGGAGGCACGGTTCCCAATCTGTGGGGGAGGCTGGGTGTGAATCGGAAGCGAGGGCCCGGCATGGGAAGTGGCCTGGACTAGGCCTCTCAAGGTCCCTTCCAGTCCTATAAGTGTGGGGAACCAATGACCTACGAGAGGGACAGAAGAGAGGGGAGACAGTGATGGAGGCCCCAACCCTAGCCAGGCCGGAAGCCAGAGCCGAGCAGTGGAAAGATCTGCCCAGGGAACCCAAGCAGTTGTGGGGAGCCCCGGGCGCCTGGACCCTCCACTAGTCCTGCAAGGTGGGGCAGGGGGCTGCATTTCAGCACCGGCCCCTTCCCACAGCACGACAGGTTCCTTGAGCTACCATCACCCAACTCCAGCCTCCGGGCAGGCCAGGGGGCGTGGCCTCAGGGGAAAGAGGGAGGGGCAGGTCTCTGTGGTGGGCGGGGCTAAGAACATAAGAACGGCCAAGCCAATAGATGATGCTCCTGTATATGCCCCATGTTTGCATTTAGAAAAGGTGGCCGCCAGGCAGAGATAAAGAACAAAAGAGGGAGGGAGGATGGGGCTGGAAGTACCTCGGAGTGAGGAGGGGAAGTGGCTTGAGCTACATTTGGGGGGGACAGGGACAGTCCCTTCCTCACCTGCACACTGGCTAGCAGAGCTCCCAGCTGGGCCGGGAAGTGCCCCTTTAAAGGCAGGGGGACTGGGTGTGCTTCTGGTTGTTCTGGGAGGCATTGTTCCTTTGGGAGGCACAAGGGTTTCTGGAACTCCTCTGGGGCAGTCAAATTCAGTGGTGTAGTGGGTGGAGGGAAATTGTCCCTGGGCACCATGCTGGGGGGGGGGGGGAGGAGAGCGCGCCAATTTAGTCCCCCTCTGCTCCCTGTCATCCCTCGGCTCGCCTGCTCCTCCTCCTCCCGCCGGCGGTGGCTGGAGTCTCCTCCCCGCCTCTGCGCCCCCAGCCCAACCCTCCTCCATCTCTGCCGGGGGGTTAGAGCGTGTGGGGGCCCGGCCTCAAACTGGAGGGGGCGGGGGAAGATGCAGTACAAGCTCCCCCCTCCTCCCAGGGTCAGGCTCAGCTGTGCCCCAGGTTCAGGTGCAAATTTTACCTTTGCCCATGGGTGCATAACATCCTCGCTACGCTCTGGTCAAATTTCACAGGCCGCTCCCTCCCCCCGGGCATGGGCCAATGCAGCCAAGGCATAGCCACAACGTGGACGCAGAGTTGGCAGCCTCCTTAAAAGCCCCGCTCTGTGGAGAGAGGTGATTGCGTTGGACTCTCTTCTGGGCTTTGTTCACTGCTCTGTGTTTGCACGTCCTCCTAGTGCCCCTCCGCCCTGCCACTACACACCATCCCTGATAACTCGTGGGTGCAGAGACCAGCCTTGCTTGTAAAATAAGCACACAAGGTCGGTTCTAGCCCTCCCCAGTGCACAGGAGAAACCCACAACAACTTGAAAACAAGAACTCGTGAGGCTCTTGTCTAGAAGACAAAAGCCTCCCACCCCTTTTTATAATCTCAGGATTTTTAAGCCCATCCCATGGTTTTGGGAGCCCTCTGGGCCTTCTGGGTTTTGAGCCCAGGGAGGGGGCATTGCTGTGTTTTTCTCCCATTGACTTCAGTGGCAGTGGGATCACGATTTACGCCTCCCCGCTTTATCCCCTCCCCACCATCAGAACCTAAGCAGGGCCCCATTAGTCACTCTGGGCTCAACTGCTCTGCAGAACTGGGGTTAGGTATTCGATTGAGTGGGTCTGAGGAATGGAGACTTCTCTTTGCAGGCTTGCAGAGAGGGGGTGGTGGGAGATGGGTGGCAGATCTGGGGTGGGGTTGGGTTGGGCGTGGGGCACAGCAGAGCCTGGGAGTAGCAGGGTTTTGCCCTAACTTTGCAGCGAGTGCCACTGGTGGGTTTTCTCAGGTGCTTGCTATCACCACATTTACAACAGTTCCAAAGAAAGTGCCTAGGTGCTTACGGCCTCTCGCTGCCTGGCCAGTCATGCAGCCCTGCTGCCAGTTGACAAAGGCCCAAATGCGGGACGTGGTTCAGGCCCAACCTTAGGGTCATGCAGGAAATGCCCAGTATCATGCGATTTCTTCCTACAGGCGAATCCCCAGCGTTCCCTGTAAGCAGTGCGCCTCGGAGGCCACCCAGGAGAGATTCTGGGTGTCTGGCTGGTGAGTCTTGCCCATGTGCTCAGGGTTTAGCTGGTCGCCATATTTGGGGTCGGGAAGGAATTTTCCTCCAGGATAGATTGGCAGAGGCCCTGGAGGTTTTTCGCCTTCCTCTGTAGCATGGGGCACGGGTCACAGCTGGAGGATTCTCTGCATCTTGGGGTCTTCAAAGTATTTGAAGGCTTCAATATCTGAGATATAGGTGAGAGGGTTATTCTAGGAGAGGTGGGGGTGAGATTCTATGGCCTGCACTGTGCAGGGGGTCAGACTAGATGATCATAATGGTCCCTTCTGACCTTAAAGTCTATGAGTCTATGAGATTCGCATGCTGCCCAGCTGATTAGCAGAGCTCCCCCAGTAGGTGTTTCTACTGCTGGTACACATCCGCACATGCCTCCGGGCACCGAATAAAATGTATTCCACACATGAGTAGAAAGAATTAGAGGGAACGGTGCTAACGGCTTTCTCCCCTCAGTGCTGGGATTCTGTATTTCTTCTGTGAATAATTCTCAGCAGTGAAAAGGAGGGGTACTGGATGGTTTTCGGAATGTAGGGCGTTTCGGGGGTGAGAGGAGTGATGCCCCTTGAAACGAGGTCTGTGTGGGAGGGATGAACACAATAGCTGTGCTAAGCTGTCTTGGAGATAGCTGTGTTAGTCTGTAGCTTTAAAAACAATGAGTAGTCCTGGGGCACCTTGGAGACTAACAAAATGTGTGTGTGTGTGTGTGTGTGTTATCAAGAGCTTTTGTTGGTAAAATCCACTTCTTAAGGTGGTATGTTTAAAGCAAACAAACTTGTTTTGTGATCTCATGTGCATTGTTATCTGGATTTGGTTGTATCAGTTTGTTCAGACTCAAGTGTCACTAACTTTATTTTGCTGTTTAATCAGAAGCAAGTCCTTGTGCTTAGAGCAGGGGTCAGTGAGCTCCCACTTCAGACTTTTACTCCTCAGTGGGGAACTGGAAATGATCCCTGTTTCTCTGACCCCACCCTCCTGCCGATGGGTGAGAGGCATGGGTGTGGAAGATGTGGGGACCAAAGACAGTGGCCTATTTGTTGCAGTCACTGATCGTGTGCACCTTGGCTCTAGGTTACCCAGGGTGAGCCCCCGCCGTGTGTATCTGCAGCTCCCACTGACTTCAGCCGGAGATGCCTGAAGGCCCGTCGGTGAAGAGGTTCCAGTTGCTCACTGCTCCTTTTGTGGGGCAGGTCGTGGCCAAGGTGGGAGGAAGCAGCAGGCAGAGCAGCCTGCAGGATCTGAAAGCAATGAGGCTCCAGGACTCTCAGGTGAGCTGTGCTAAAAGGCAGCCTTGTCGGGACACGTCAGCCCAGCCTCCCAGTCCTGCCTGAACCGCAGTGCTGGTGCAGCGGAGATGGTGGTGTTGGATTTGGGCCAACCACAGTAACATCAGAGAGCCTCTTGTGCTCAGTGGGAAACATGTTCTGTGAAACGTTTGTGGCTCTGAACAAGTGCTGTATAGGCAGGTTTAGACACTACCCACATGGCTCCAGGACTCATCCTAGAGCACTGGAAGGGACCTCGAGAGGTCATCGAGTCTAGGCCCCTGCCTTACCTCCACTGCTTCACCATCCGGAAGCCATCTCAGTTAAACGGGCCCAGGCACAGCCTGCTTCCTGAACCCCTGTCCCAACCCTGAACCTCCTTCTGCACCCAACCTCCTGCCCCAGATGTGAGTCCTCCTACACCCAAACTCCTTCCCAGAGCTTGCACCCTGAAGCCCCTCCTGGACCCCAATCTCCCACCCTGGGCTAAGCCCGGAGCCCCTCCAACAGTCCAAGTCCCTTGGCCCAAGACCAGAGCCTGCACCCCAACCCCCTATCCGAGTCTGGTGCAAGTGAGTGAGGATGGAAGAGGAAGGGTATGGAGCGAGCAGGGTGAGGCCTTGGAGAAGGGATGGAACAAGGGCCGGGCCTCAAAGAAGGGGTGGGAAGGAAGTGGGGCAAGGGTATTTGGGTTTGAGGTAGGTCTTATCCAACCTCTACCAGAGTCTGGTGCAAGTGAGTGAGGATGGAAGAAAAACATGTAGATGTTTTCGCAGGCACAGCCCACTTCTCTTCAAATGTAAACCTAGTGCAAGATGGAACAGAACAAGATTATGAAGGCCTCTGTCGGATGCTGGGAATGGATGGCAGGGGAGGAATCACTTGATGATTACCTGTTCAGATGATATATTACAGAAGGCTGGAGACCACTGCTGTAGCAAGACTGGCAAAGCGAATAAGACTTCACAGGATGTGGGCTTCTGCCCTGACGGAGCTGGCTCCTATCTCCCAGAAAGTCCTCCAGATCCCTCCCATCCCTTGCACATTTGCCCTGTGGGCAGTGAGGGCCCCTAATCGTAAAACATTCACTGCTTGCAAATGCTCAAGTCCTCCGCCGATTCCTCTGCCCTTCATTTTTAGGTGTCTGGAAAGAATTTATTCCTGGCATTCTGTGCTGCTCTGGAAGCCCAGCCCATGAAGGGAAGCCCATCCCCAGTGGAAGAAGGGCCAACCCCCCAAGGAAAAGCTGACAGCGGGGCATGCTCCCTTCGCCAGGCTCGGGAGAGAGAAGTGGATGATGTCTCTCTGCGAAGCTCTGAAGAACACAGCGTGCAGAGGAAGCAGGAACCTGAAGGCTCAGAAGCACCAGGGGACGCTTGGAAATGGCTGCGTTTCCATTTTGGCTTGTTCGGCAGCATCCGAGCGAATGAGTTTGCGAGAGCTAATAAGGCAAACAAAAGAGGGGACTGGAAGGATCCTGTGCCCAGGTATTGATTGATTCCCCTGTTGCGGCAAGCACGGATTCTCTTCCGTCTCCCTTTGCCCGCCTCCCTCTCCCAGTGCCAAGTTTCTAAAGAGGCAAAAGTCAATGGGGCTTCATTTTTGCTTGCTCCTTTAATGGCTCAA